AAGCAATAAATCTATCTAAGCCCTTCGAATATGCGAAAAAATGACGTCACATCCCACTGTATTTACCATTTTGAATGTACGTGTGGACACACATACATAGGGAGGACTCATCGATCTCCTCAAGCAAGGGCTTTAGAACATATTCCTAAGTGGTTCCAGAAACAAATGGAATCTTCAGAACCTATTAAAAGTGAGAACAGGAGACCTATTGCGAAACATATTATAGAGACAGGACATAGAATTGATGTTAACAGATCTTTTAAACCTATCTATAAAACGTGTTTGGGGGGTATCCTAAAGTTTGTGGAAGCCCTAGCAATTAGAAAGTTCAAGCCACCTTTATGCGTTCAAAAACAATTCGTCATCACATTAAACCTTCCTTGGTAAATTTTGTTTTGATACCATAGCAGATGCCCTATTACCTCTGGTATTTGCTTTAGTGATCTTCATTGTTATTTTGACCTTGAACATATCCTTTTAACTTGACTTAAGTCTATTTTCTCACCTCTTACCTCTTTACTAATTTCATATTTATTCCTATGACAAGTCCGTGTGTGATTAGATTGTTCGAAATGTGTTGCGCAAATACATTACACGATTCAGATAAATTACATCTTCTTATTGCTTTATCTAAATTCAGAAACGGAACTAATTGTTTTAAATCAACTATAGAAGAGTGAACACAACAACAATTTGACATTAGTCATTACAAATATATGTGATGACTGCTTACAGATTTCTTTTGATTTTCAAGTATTGATTTCTTTTGGTAAAAATGTCCATGGACAAATGACCTTCAAATAAACTGACTTCAATTTATGTAGAAAATTTTGACGATATATTTTGATGATTAATAAAAATCCGAATAAATCTGCTGAAGAACCTGTGGCTTACACAGCGAAATGATCAGAAAAATCTTGTTTTGATTTTCTTAACACGCTGGGACTAATTTAAATAATTTATAATGAATAGATAAGAATTGGTTACAGGATTTCATCATGAGCTGATATTGGTTAGAGAACCAGCACTGGACAGCTGTTTCATTAGCCTAGTTTGGGACTCTTCACCAGTACGCCCCCACCGGTGTTCGAACCCAGGACTTTTTGGTTACAAGGCGAGCTTGTAGACCATTAAGCCACTGAGACCCAATCCAATGAACAGTCCGTGAATTCCAGTTCTGCCAGTTTACGACATAGCGCTACTACTAGCTAATGTCTGTGGCCAGTAGGGTACAGCAGGTAGGGCGTGAGGGCAAATACTCACCAAAGTAGTCTTTTGTCCTCTTCATTCCTTTGCCTTCCAACTGGAACATAGGACTTCAAGCTTCTTGAAGTTTCAGTGGGGTGACCGTGGTGTTGTCTCTACTGGGTAGGAATTGCTAGTCTCACTTACCCTCTTTCCCCGATTCACTATTGGTTAATAAACTAAGGTGAGGTTTGTGAGTGCATCATCCGAGAATTGAACCCAGACCACATATACATAGTTGGCAAGCATTCTGCAATTAAGCCACCAATGCATATTAAGGAAGTTAATGCTCTCATATATATTTCGCAAACGTTTTGAGTGATATTAATTTTATTATTTACTGAACAAACTTATATTTTGTTAACCAGAGCTTTGACACTGTAGGACGTTGATAAAAAGATTAAGTGATGAAAATTCGAACTCAGTTAATAAATAAACACAAAAGCAAAAACTATATTTATATATATCTCAGGGAAACATAAAATCAATAATTCCATTGTTTCGTTCGGCATATTGGTCCAAATTTTTTCAGGGAAATAATCCATCATCTTCAAAATTCTTGTACAATTATGTAAGTGTCATGAATAACCATCAAAAGTTAGAAATTTGATAAGGTTAAAATTTTAGGTTAGACCGCAGATTTATATTAGAACTAGACAGTTGTTTCTTTCTAGTTTGTGACTGCTCAGAAGTGAGCATCCAGTGGGGCTGGAACCCAGAAACTTCCACTTACAAGGCAAGCTTGTTGACCATCGAGCCACTGGGACGTAACTCAACTGGCCGTGAATTCTAATTTCTACCAATTCGTGATTTTAGCGCTACTACCAACCGATGTCATCGGTGGGAATTCTATTCTCACTCCCAACTACATGAACCCACATCGGTCACGAGTTCTCACCAAAACTGCAGGCAACTTCATTCTGTAGCCAGTCACTAAACAGCATTGGATTAATTTTCAAGAATGGATTTTTGTAGGGATTCTGTTTGTTTCAGGTAAGACCACGGATGGATATCAGTGAGAGAACCATTGAAAATCAGCGCCGGAGTGTTGCACAGATGTTTCATTCAAGTTTGGGAATACTCGACAGTATGCATTCACTGGGTTTCGAACCCAGGACAGGGTAAGTTCGTATACCATTCAGCCGACGAGTTCAAAACTAGGATGAAATATCTGTGCAGTACACCCTGGTTTTTAAATGGTCCTCTAACTGAATACAATCCGAGGTCTTGTCTAAAACGGATAGTATCCCTGCAAAAGCCAATTCTTGTAGGTTAAAATTATTATTGAGTGAGAAGAAAGGCAGTTGAGTTTCCATTTTATAAGTGTGAAGAGGGTGAGAAAATATACAAAAGAAACATGTGGGAATGATAAATAGTGAAATAATTATTGAAGTGAAAACAAAGTAATCATTAAGAATAGAAATTAAAAATAAATGTAGTCTTAATCTCTTCATTAGTCGTTCCTTGCAAATGTTTTACTTTAAATGATTTTTTTGCTTTTAATTTAACAGTGAATTCACTATTATCACTCTCACATGTTCATTTTGTACGTTTTCTCACTCACGTCATTAACAGCAAAAAGAAAATTCACATGAACTGTGATCAACATTTCACAGGATAGTACCACAAGCTAATGATTAGTTTATTTTGTTATAGGCTGTAAACAGTGTGTACTTTTACATTGGCCTTTAATAACAATATTCGAATAAAGGTCATGGTCATGAAAATCTAAATTAGAAAAACATGTGAATGATATACAATGTGTGGGTATGAGTGAACATTTTTTTAGCCATATATTAGCATTTCAGTGTGAAGACAAATATAATCGGGATAGCAGATTGTTTCCTTGATGAACTTCCAAGTAGTTTGTCAATGTAACCTTGGAATTATTTCAGTTTGTTGAGTTCTATACACGTATAATTGGTTACAGGATTTCATCACGAATCGACATCGTGTAGAGAACCAGTGGGAAATCTAGGCGCATTGGACAGACATTTCGTCCTAGTTCGGAAGTCTTCAGCAGTACGTACTCACCGGGGTTCGAACACAGGACCTTCTGGTCACAAGGCGAGCTTGTAGACAGAAATGTTTTGATTCTGTGATAATACTTAAACAAAGAAATCACACTAGCTTAGGTGTTACTGTTGAGATGTAGGGCTTGAGCATCTTTCAAAGAAACATCTTTCCTATATCATGCATTGTAATAGTGGTCTGTATTTTTCAGAGGATGGATATTACTCGAAAATGTTAATGCAGAATACATTCAGTGAATATCTTCGATTTCTGTAATCATATGTTTAAGTTGGTTGAAGAAAACAAGGAATTACGTTGTATAGTTTATGGGTGATTTAAAGAGATACATTTATGTCAGATAAGTTCGTTATGGAATACAAATCTCTGGCAAACCTCTCTATCTAAAACACAGTGCTTATTCCCAGTTAAACATTTAGTTTATTCTCCTTCTTCAACTTTCACTATCCCTAGGGTTGTTTCTACAGTCTACTCCAGCTTAGGAAACATCATTCGACATCTAAGAGTCTTTAGGGGAGAATAGATTTTCACATACGGCCTTATCAATTTAGATGATGAAGAAATGTCGACGTTTACGCAAAGTACGCTGTATTCATATGCAAATTCTTATCCACCACCTCCTATGGTGCTTATTCTGCCTGGACCAGAGAAAAATTAAAGCACCGAATTGGACATCCAAAATACGAGATATACTTTGGGATCATATTCGTAGTACGATGTTGATTGGTTAGTTAAAGATCGTGCACAAATGAACAAACGGTATGCCACATGGTGTGGATCCTTGATAGCAAACCTTCAGCCTAATACGTCGACTTAAACAGTAATAGTCAATATCCAGTGTTGAGTGAAGAATGTTGCAGACTAAAAATTCTGGGTTTTTTTTACGAAATTTAAAATCTGGTATTCCATATCATAATATTTATTTCATGTACGATTAATTGGGAATTGTTTGTTGGTGGCACAGAGGTTAGGACCCTCACCGACCATGCACATGGTCCGGGATTCAATCCCCTGCCGACGCACACCCGATATCAATGGTCGGCCTGAAAAATTGGGCTGCCGATATAACATGCTGAAAATGCCATACTTGTACTAAAGATACCGTGTGAAGTCAAATTATAATCAAAAAAATCAAAAAATTATTATTGTTACTTTTACGGTGTTTTCCTTACGAATACAAGCAAGTTCCTGATGCATAGAAAACAGTATGAGTTCCAGTTTTGGTAGACTCAGTATGCACGAAGGATTTCTTCTTCAGTAAATTCGTTTCATGTCCTAATAATCATAAAATAAACTGTTATCATTTTAATAATAGTCGGGTATACGGGGATACATTTTAAAGTAGGATATGATCACAGACTTAAAATCAGCTTAGTTTTAAGCTATTGGGTGACAGGATCGATAGTATTTCTCGGACAAACATCGTGAGGTGAATAGAATTACAAAATAGCATGAAATGAATGAAAATGGCGAAAATCCCAGCTAGCAATGACTTCGGGCTCACTGCAGAATGTTTTGGGCACTAACACGAACGTTCACTGGCTAGAGATCAACCAATGGGAGTAAACCACATCTAATTCTTCAACCAACGACAGCTGACTTTGCTTAACTACGTTACAATGAATCTGAATTAGTCATTAGCGATACATAGATTTAAATAATAGACTCTTCTATATAAGTAATCAATGAAATATACTCTTTGCTTTCTGAATATATCCCAATAGGTTTTTTCATCAGAAGTCTTTTACTGGATTGGAATTCATGTTGGAAAAGAAGCGGTTTAATTCACAGTTTGTGTTTCCACTGCGGTGAGTAACCTGCGTGTCTGCCCAACCTCCTTGTTTACGAATTTTTCTAAGTCATTCACTGCATACTTCTGTGTTATATTTTAGAACTATTACAGTATTGTACGTTTAAAATATCATACCAAGTGTATTTGTTGTTTAGACTGCAGGAATCCGTTTGTTGACACTTTTTTCGATTTTTTTTCGAGCTAACATGAGTTTCAACGGTTCTTCATCCTACCGGACTAATCCACTAAACGACTTCATTGATAACAGACCACCACCTAATGTCGAGCCATACAGCCGGAAGAAATTGAGACTACGTAAGTTTATTTATCAGTTATCTGTTACGATGCATCGGAAGCTAATTTTAACCTAAGACGACATAAGTCAACATTTTATCGACGTCTCAAAAATATAATTTAGAGTGCAAGAAGCATTTAGAAGGTACGCTTGTTGTTTCATATTAATATACTCAGAATTATATGCAAAATCCCGTGAAATAGAACCAGAGCAAAAAATAACTCCAGGAAGCATGACTTAGGTCATCATAAATTCACATAAAATATGGCGAAGGTATATTGACAAGTTAACTCAAGATTATATAATTTTTTTGGTGCTTGACTAGTATAACTTTCATGTATGTAGACACTATTGGATTATTCTGATTTAGTATTAGTGACATTATTTCTTTTATGACTCTATTTCATTCATTTCACGTATTTATTATCTCATGGTGAACTTTTCACTGCATCCTTACTATCCTTACTATTGTCTTTACACTGACCACTCATCAGACATATTACAAAACCTTGAACTAACCTTTCAATTTTCCGTCACTACATTTTATTAATTTATCATGACTAATCGTCATCTGCATTCATGTCATGCTATTTTGTCATTCTTATTCAACCCAAGATATTTTTTCATAGAAATAATACTCATCATGTCACCCAACAACTTGAAACTAAGCTGATTTGAAGTCTGTGATCATATCCTTCTTTAAAATATATCGCCGTATACCTGGCTATTATTAAAATAATGACAGTTTATTTATTTTGTGGCTGTTAGAAAATTCATGAGCAGTTACATGAAGGAGTAAATAATATTAGAAGTACTGTGAATAGACATTGGTTCTACCTCCTAGTGACATAACTACATTATTGAGGTAAGTGTAACTGGATGAATGATTGGTTGATTAGTTACCTAGAATTATATAAAAGAATTTTCTGTTGTTTCGATTTATAAGGGATAGTTTTGTTTTTACGAGTTGATCACGGATTGATATCAGTTAGAGAACCATTGAAAACCAACAGGGAGTACTGGACAGCTGCTGTTTCATCCTAGTTTGTGAATCATCGGCAGTACGCACCCACTGGGATTCTCTAACTTCTACCAATCCATGATCAACTCGTAAAAACATATCTAACCCTTCCAAACCAAACTATAGACAATTAATCTGATGCTCACTAGTGACTTGCTACAGGATGGAGTTTCTTGGAGTCCTAGTGAGAAGTCGTGACCAGTGAGGTCCATCCAGATGTCACGTGTGTGGATGCATATCCCACCAACGACAATGGTTGGGGCCGCGCTAAATCACGAATTGGTAGAAGTTAGAATTCATGGGCTGGTCATGGAATCGGGTCCCAGTGGCTGAATGGTATACGAGCTTACCTTGTAACCAGAAGGTTCTGGGTTCGAATCCCAGTGGGTGCGTACTGCCGATGATTCCCAAACTAGGATGAAACAGCAGCTGTCCAGTGCTCCCTGGTTTTCAATGGTTCTCTAACTGATATCAATCCGTGATCAACTCGTAAAAAATATAAAAGAATGATGAACAATCGGATTACAACTGGTCTAAGTGTAGCTATTTAGATGACTAAGATTAAAAAATTTAACCAATATGTACGATTTATTCTACAGATGTTTATTAATATCTGGAAACTTCCCAGTAAGACATATAGAAAAGGTTTCGTCCCTAAAGGAAGCATCTCACAATCCATGAACAGGACATTCGCTACAACAACACTGATACTAATATTTTCCATTCGACCACTGATCTCTAATAACCTGACGTACAAGATCCTGCATACGACCATCTGCATTTGTGTTTATTAGTTCACCTGCTCTGATAATTTCATTTGTTTTTTTTCCAGTAACGTTCAAGAACATCACCAAACTTGGTTGCACAGAGGTACAGGTGGTGCTATAAGAAGTGTAGTGGTTGGACATCTTTTCAACCTCTCCATTGAGAATTATTCATACGGAGAAAATGCTCTGCACGAATTATTGCGTATTCACCTAGTCCTTATCATTGAAGCTCTAGACATGAAAATAGAGAAGCCAAAGCTTTTTGTATACATAAGAAGCTTGTTCGTGATCTTAATCCGTTTATGTCAAAATACTAGTAAAACAAATAAACAGAAAAAATATTAATTCTACTTATTACACAACGTATCTGTTTCTCTATTTTTATGTCGTTCTCGGTAATAACTCATGTCTTAAACATTTCATTGTATTACACAATCCCATATGTATAATTATTCATCTTCAATATACCTTCATAATATGATTAACACTCACTCATCTTGATAACTTCATATTTATTCTATTAGTTACCATGGGATTTAAGTGTGAAATTACTGGACAGATTCAAGAAACAAACTGTATGTAATTTCGGTTATTCAGCTTTAGAAAAATTTTCACTTGAAAAAGTCTCTTAGCTTTATTTTTTTATTTGTAAGTGTTAGATGATTAAAGGTAATAGGCAGGAAGCCTTGGGCCTAGGTTTTCTGCTAATTTGCACTCGTTAGCAAGACATATCTGCAACTTTGAGGGAACTCCAATGCCTTCTGAAACTCGAGCCCGCGTCATCCAGTGATGCACTCAGAGACGTTACTACTGAGCTATTCGGGCTCAGAAGGGGCACGAGTTTCTTCAAGGTTGCAGATACGCCTTGCTGACGAGTGCCAACTAGCACGAAACCTAGATCCAAGGCTTTCAGCCGATTGCCTCCAACTATCTAACATCAACAAAGTGCACCGTGATGGTGAGCTACCTAGAGTGGTGGCCACATTGCAAACCTGATTGATAGAATTCAGTCTGCACCAAAGAAAGAACTAGACACATCACACTAGTTACTGGTGCGCAATCAAAGTATTTATAGGTGTATTGATTAAATCCTGTAAAATTGCATCTATAAGAACAGCATCAAGATCAAAAACAGAAATTAGATATTCAGACAGAATCTCGGATGATAGTAAAATTTAAACATACAGAATGCTGTTTGGTTATCACTTTAATGGTACCAATCCAGCATATTAATAATGATGTCAACTTGTGATAAATCGATGTTCACAATCGTCTAAACTTCAGGTTGTTAGTGAAAAAAGGGCTAAAATAGTACAGAGGATTTTTTGCTCAGAATGAGTGTGGAAATTGTCTGATATCCTCTGAGCACTGGTATTTAATCATGGAGATTCTATCACAAAGCATTTCGATGAAACGAATCTTATTTATTCGCCAATATAAACCCAACAGCAGGTAGCAATAACTGAGCTTTGTTAGCTAAAATAAGTGGATTTGTGCCCATTTTGAATAGAACTTTGATCTTGATGAAGTTTTTCAGACAACTCCTAGTATGTATATAAACAGTCAGTGGATCGAAATGAGCTCATATCTTATACTTTATATTTAATCCATAAACTTATGGGTGTCATTATGTTTTATGTCAGCACATGAGTCACACTGTTGTATTAAGGACAATAATATCTCTCATATACACTGGAATCAGACATGGTACAATCGATTCCTGTGGATCCAAATCTAACTTTATTGTAGGAGTACGGAATAAATTTTTTTTCTGAGTGACCGGAGGCAGTCTGCATTAAATACCAGACTTAGTATATGTGGCGAATACAACTGATTAAGAAGCTTTATGTGCAACCTTGATACACCTTCAGTGAATCTAAGTAAATCACTTAGTAATACAGTCAAAAAGACTACATCCTACCTCTTCTAGATGCCTCCATGGATTCTGGATTCGAAATGGTTTACTGAAGTAGTGATGAAAGTAATCTGTGTGTTTACCGAACTGTCATAATTTTTCTTTTGATTGTAATACTGTGGTGTGTCCTACTGATAAGACTTATCAGTAGTATAAATATCAAGAGATGTTCATCGGAATAAGAAACATCAAATAGCAGGGAGATAGATTTGATGTCAGAGAAAGCAAACGATACAGTGTTGCGGAGATACATGGGAGACGTGAAAGGAACACATGAAGAAACACAATATGAAGGAAGGGTAGAAGGAGCACAACAGGGAAGATCTGTGCAAATGGTGCGTTGAAGATAAGGCGTACATAATTTGGCTATATGGTGATACCAGACTGTAAATAAACTTTTGTTACCAAGTCTTTCGTCTTCCACCGTTACAGTACCATTATGCTCTGTCTTCTCCAATTCTCCTCAAAATTAAGATCCCACTTTCTAAACCCAATTATTTCATTTAATCCTGTAAAATCGTTCAGTTTAGTGGTTTGATTTGTCCCCAATTTTGACAAGTTTTTATCTGTCATATTTCCATAATACATAGATATACTTAGATTAGAATAGATTATTTTTTGCTTTTAGAAGTAGTGCTAAATTATTTATTTCTTTGATGAACTTTGATCAAACAATAAGGTTTTATTTGTTTAAATCTTATAATGTATTTAACACGTTTGGTTTGTATAGAGCGCACTTCAAATAATACAATCATACACATTAATACCAGAGTAATTTATATGAATATACACAGGCTTAAAAAAGTGAAAATAGGTCAGATATGAAAGCCAGATTGAAGCTAGAAAAAAATGATAAAAAATCGATAAAACAGAGTAAAATTACATGGACTTGGACTTGACATTATACTTGTATAAATCTCATCGAAATTGAAATGAATAATTCCAACGTTTCAGTCAACAAACAGGTCCAAATTTTTTCAGAGAAATAATAGAAATTAAAGCACCAAAGGTATACATAAAAGACACATCTTGTCTTTAAAATTCTAATCCAGTTATTTCTGAGTTAAAATTGGTCGTCAAAACCAATTCACATAGTTTTGTTTGTGTTTCTATTTTGGCTTTGATGTCTCTGCATGACTTAGACATAGTTGGACAAGAATTTTAAACATAAGATTTGTGTTATATATCTGTAGTGCACCTTGGATGTTTGAACCTTTGTTTTAATGCATTCATATAATATGGCGCCGCACTTTCACTGTTTTTCCGGCGTGACTGCTAGTACGTGGCTTGCTCCCTCGTTGTGCTAGCAATAAGCGTACCCTTGAGCTCGCTACCCGAGGCAATTAGCAGATAAATTGTACAGTATTCTTGTTTATTAAATTTGACATTTACTTGTATTGTAAAAATACAATCCTCACCTGAGCACACTACCCAGCCACAAGTCTATTTCCTCTGAGCTCGTTTATCGGTATTTACCCTAACACTGATCAAGGTTAACTGAGGAAAACAAGTTTAGTAGGTGCTGATGTTAAAGACTATCTAGAGGTTGATATCAGTACTTACATATCTACCTTTGACATTTTAATTTTGATTATTTCAGACCAGCTGCAATTTTGCTGAGATTTATACAAATATAATTTTCACATTCCTACTTTCCATACGGTGTCCGATGTTTGTGAAACTATTCCGTTAAATTTTGATCAGAGCTCAGATATTTCTAGTGTGGAGATACGCCATTTTTTCAAGTCACAGGGATGACTTTAGCATTCTAACGACTAAGCCATCAAAGCTTAGACGTCACGTAATGTAAATGGGTTTAAAACAAGCGACAACTATGAAAACAATCAGTATTTAGTGAATTATTAAATTTCCATAGGAATCATCAGATGAACACTCCACAAGCATTGCTATTTTCACAATTCAAAGTTAAATACATACAAACACATGAACATTGCGACAACAAATAAGTGTCAATTAAAAGAAATATACGATCTATAAGTGATGAGTAGTCGTCTATTAATGTCATCATTAAGTGAATAATCTTCATCAATGCACATATTAACAATATTAGCTGGACTTATTGTTGTAGAATTAATACAATTATAAACATCTAGATTTGATAATATTTCAATACAGGGAAACTTCATAAAAAAACAAATGAGTAAATGTAACATATGTTAACCATATAAAACAATATTAATTAAAAAAAAAAAAAAAATAAAGGAAGAGAAATGAAAAGAAGGTTATCT